TACCCTTACCATCTAGGCTTTTGTGTAGATTTGTAAGGATTTCATGGGTAAGAAGTGAACATTCCACCTAGCCTATTAAAGGGCAAGGTAGAGCTAGTACCTATCCAATCCTTCCAGAGCTACACACGAGTTTATGCGATATTTTTGTATCTACATTAAGCACTAAGGATTTAAACTGGAATTGGACCGACCGCTACATCCCTAAATGAACTGGCAAGGACTGTGCTTCCTTCTTAAAAGGGACACAGGACAGGGGATTTGATTTGATTAGCTTAATTTTATGCCAATATTAAAAAGGCAATCGGCTATTGCTACAGTGCCTTCAGAAAGTATTCATACCCCTTGACTTATTCCACATTTTGTTGTGTTACAGCCTGAATTAAAAATGGATTACATTTGTTATTTTTTTCACCCATCTACACACAATACCACATAATGACAGTGAAAACATGTTTTTAGAAATGTTCGCAAATGTATTGAAAATGTAATACAGAAATGTCTTTACATAAGTATTCACACCCCTGAGTCAATACTTTGTAGAAGCACCTTTGGCGGCGATTACAGCTGTGAGTCTTTTGGGGTAAGTCTCTAAGAGCTTTGCACACCTGGATTGTACAATATTTGCCCATTTTATTATTTTTTAAAGTTCTTCAAGCTCCATTAAGTTGATTGTTGAGCATTGCTAGACAGACATTGTCAAGTCTTGCCATAGATTTTCAAGCCAATTTAAGTCAGCTGTAACTAGGCCACTCAGGAATATTCAATGTCTTGGTAAGCAAATCCTAGTGTTTTAGGTTAACGTCCTGCTGAAAGGTGAATTCGTCTCCCAGTTTTCCTCTAAGATTTTGCCTGTGCTTATAGCTGTGTTCCGTTTCTTTTTAACCAAAAAAACTCCCTAGGCCTTGCCATAATATGATGCAGCCACCTCCATGCTTGAAAATATAAAGAGTGATACTCAGTGATGTGTTGGATTTGCCCTCCTGTATTCAGGACAAAAAGTTAATTTCTTTGCCACATTTCTTGCAGTATTGCTTAAGTGCTTAACAGGATGCTTGTTTTGGAATCTTTGTAGTGACTGGGTGTATTGATACACCATCCAAAACCTAATTAATAACTTCACCATGCTCAAAATGATTTATTCAGTGTCAATCGGTGCCCTTCTTTGCGAGGCAATGAAAAACCTCCCTGGTCTTTGTGGTTGAATGTGCTTGAAATCTACTACTCGATTGAGGGACCTTACAGATAATTGTATGTGTGGGGTACAGAGATGGGGTAGTTAGTCAAAAATCATGTTAACCACTATTATTAAACACGAAATGAGTCCATGCAACTTATTATGAGATTTGTTAAGCACGTTTTTACTCCTGAGCTTATTTAGGCTTGCAATAACAATTAATAAATAAAAAAATCTACTAACAAAATTCCACTTTGACATTATGGGGTATTGTGTGTAGATCAGTGACACAACATTTCAATGTAATCAATTATTAAATGCAGGCTGTAACACAACAAAATGTGGAAAAAGTAAATGTGTGTGAATACTTTCAGAAGGCACAGTAGAAAAATCTGAAGAAAAATATCACAGTATGCTTCAAGTTATACATGTCAAGAGTCTTTTCAGTTTGATACATTGTTCAGAAACGTGTTTAAATGTCACTGCCACAATTGGTGCAATTTTTTTTCTTGTTACAAGAAAAATCATAGCCTGATTTCCCCCCCACACACATCTATGTAGCCCGAAAGTCTAGTTGGTAATCTCCAGTAACACATGTAACTCATAAAGATGGTCTGCAGAAAGTGTCTGTTCTTTGTCTCTTTGCCATCCTTCAGGGGACATCTGGCCTGGAATGTGGTACAATATATGTTATCCACCATTCATAACTGAGGGGCATTTGTGGAACAACAGATTTGTAAATTTTTGCCTGGAGTATGTATGACCCTCGTGGGCTGTCCTTACAACATTGGCTAAACGAAAGAACAAACGTCAACCTGCATTTGAAACATAAAATAAATCTATCAATAAATTACCTTCTATTACATGTGAACTAGAGGTCTTCACGGGTCCAGAAAGTTGGACCCATTCCGAAATGGATCAGTGGCTTTCCCACCCGACCCGATATGCATGTATACCTTTTTTTTTTTACGGAGACCCGTTCCGAATGGACCCGAGGACAGTCAGACACGTTCCGAAAAAGCCTGTGGACAAACAGACCCAAACAGACCCGTGCTGGTTTGGATCTGAGAGACCCGTTCAGATCCGAGAGTAGAAAGAGAGCAAGAAAGAAACCTCCAACTGGGCGCTGCCAGCGCCAGCAATAAACGAGTGATAGGCTTTTGGCCAAATGATCCACGGTTACGTGTACTTAAAAACTGCCTATAACGAATTACTAAAAAACTGTTTGTTGTGTTTCGATATGTAGCATATTCAAAACTTTATAGCCTGTTGTTTTATTGTTTTTTACTCTCCTAAAACAATAATTGTCCACCTCACGGTTCAGCTGTCAGAGATTTGAGCACTGAATGCATCATGGCATTTTATGCAAATGCCTAGGCGTCCACTGTAAGTAAGCATTTCACGGTAATGTCTACACCTGTTGTATTCGGCGCATGTGGCAAATAAAATTTGATTTGATTTGAAATATTACAAAAGTAAATATAAAGGAAGAGAAGCTTAGGCCTATAGCCCTAGAGACTGAGAGAAAGATGGAGATATGCCGGTGGCATGTTCCTGACAACGAAATTGATTTCTTTATCCTTGTCAGATAAGCTACTACTGCTATACAGATACAATGCTTTCAGAAAGTATTCAGACCCCTTGACTTTTTCCACATTTTGTTACGTTACAGCCTTATTCTAAAATTGATTAAATTGTTTTTTTTCGTCATCAATCTACACACAATACACCATAATGACGAAGCATAAACAGGTTTTTAGAATTCTTTGCTAATAAAAAAAAAAACTGAAATCACATTTACATAAGTATTCAGACCCTTTACTCAGTACTTTGTTGAAGCACCTTTGGCACCGATTTAGAGCCTTGAGTTTTCTTGGGTATGACGCTACAAGCTTGGCACACCTGTATTTGTGGAGTTTCTCCCATTCTTCTCTGCAGATCCTCTCAAGCTCTGTCAGGTTGGATGGGGAGCGTCGCTGCACAGCTATTTTCAGGTCTCTCCAGAGATGTTTGATCGGGTTCAAGTCCGGGCCCTGGCTGGGCCACTCAAGGACATTCAGAGACCTGTTCCCGAAGCCACTCCTGCATTGTCTTGGCTGTGTGTTTAGGGTCTTTGTCCTGTTGGAAGGTGAACCTTCGCCCCAGTCTGAGGTCCTGAGCGCTCTAGAGCAGGTTTTCATCAAGGATCTCTCTGTACTTTGCTCCGTTCATCTTTCCCTCGATCCTGACTAATCTCCCAGTCCCTGCCGCTGAAAAACATCCCCACAGCATGATGCTGCCACCACCATGCTTCACCGTAGGGATGGTGCCAGGTTTCCTCCAGACGTGACGCTTGGCATTCAGGCTAAAGAGTTCAATCTTGGTTTCATCAGACCAGAGCATCTTGTTTCTCATGGTCGGAGAGTCCTTTAGGTGCCTTTTGGCAAACTCCAAGCAGGCTGTTACTGAGGAGTGGATTCCGTCTGGCCACACTGCCATAAAGGCCTGATTGGTGGAGTGCAGCAGAGATGGTTGTCCTTCTAGAAAGTTCTACCATCTCCACAGAGGAACTCTGGAGCTCTGTCAGAGTGCCCATTGGGTTCTTGGTCACCTCCCTGACCAAGGCCCTTCTTCCCCAATTGCTCAGTTTGGCCGGGCGGCCAGCTCTAGGAAGAGTCTTGGTGGTTCCAAAATTCTTCCATTTAAGAATGACGGAGGCCACTGTGTTCTTGGGGAACTTCAATGCTGCAGAAATGTTTGCCAGATCTGTGCCTCAACACATTCCTGTCTCGGAGCTCTACGGACAATTCCTTCGACCATTAAATGATCATAGGCCTGCAGTAGTTAAGCCTAATCATAGCCATACCACACCAAACATTCACAAAAGTTTCTTACTTTTGGTATTACCCTAATAAAGTAAAAATGTTGTTTATAGGGAAAATAAGAACAGGTTATTATATTTCAGCATTAAATAAAGTGGTTTTTCCTTTTCATTACAGTTGGAACTTAATTTTGCCAAAGGAAATGGCTCAAGAATGAAGAAAAACAATTGTTGCATATTTAAATAATTAGTTTAAACCTTCACAAAAGTTTTGAACAGAGGCCTATATTGCAGCAATTAAACAAAGGCGAGTGCCTCTAGGCCTACCCCACAACTGACAACAATAGGCTTATTATATTTATTTTACAACAGGCTTACTTTTAACCTATCTTATACTAAATACGGAGCACAAAATTAAAAAGACAGTTCAAACTTAATTTAGCCAACGAAAATATCTTGACAAAACAAAACAAAACATATTTTGCGTATTTAAAGAACTGCTTTAGATTCACAGAGGACAGGTCCAATCGGGTCCAGTCAGTAAATACATTTGAATTACACGTACCTGAGACCCGTGGCAATTATATCAGACCCGACCCAGGTCTGAAACAAAAGTCCGAATTTAGGACCCGTGCGCGCTCGGCTCCTGGGTCGGATCTTGGAATTTTGGGTCTGTTGGACCTGTGAAGACCCCTAATATGAACCCAAGCTAATACCAAAAATGTTCATACTTTAGCAATGAAAACATATGGGCCTATATTGCATAAAAACCATTGTATAAAGAAGATGAGCAAATCCATTGTTTAGTTTTTATTAAAAGTATACAGATGCACAACAGTAGATCATCAAACCTCACCACCCACAACTCAACATCCTAGTATTTCTGACCATTTAAAAATGTTCTGTGCTAGCAGTAACATTAGTCTTTCCGTCCTATTTATGTTGTGCAATGTGGCAGTAGTTCTCCTGTCCTTGGCATAGGTTCGGTTATCAGGCCTAGGATTCTTCTTGGCATCCCCTGGTCAGATGTTAGCCGGCTCTTTGGAGGTCTGTGGTGTAGATGTAGTTATTTTGTCTTAAATGCATATACCCTTTGTCTTCTGGACTGAAAGAGTATAGAACATATGTGGTGACATATTCATTGAATCAAGGAAATGTCAATACCTTCCTTACGATAAGTTTCCATTGAAATTTTGCCTTGAGTGAGCAATAGTTTTGTTACGTGGAGTTCTGATTGCATTCAATTCGTAGGAATATAATATTACATCCAATAGCTTAGGGAGACATTTCGAGTTCTGCATGGCTGATCTGTGGTGGTTATAATTAAACACTGCCAGCAGTCAGGATAGAAGGCAAAACACAAACATTTAGCACTTGCATAGCCAACATGGGGATGTGATTCTGGAATAAATAAAAACAGATTCAAAATTGAATCCCCTCTACATTACTGGTCCCGTGTAGCTCAGTTGGTAGAGCATGGCGCTTGTAGCGCCAGGGTTGTGGGTTCGATTCCCACGGGGGGCCAGTATGAAAAAATGTATGCACTCACTAACTGTAAGTCGCTCTGGATAAGAGCGTCTGCTAAATGACTAAAATGTAAATGTAAAATGAGATCACCTCTTCACACATCAACATTTGCTATTCATGGGTTGCACGTTTGTCACAATAAACTTTATTTTGAAGACTGATGCCCGACTGAGCGTTCTATTCAATGCAGATATTTCAAAAGGAGGAAAATAATTTAGTATGAAAACCTTTTGTCATCATTGTGATGTCACCAGATTGTCTGTAGATGCAGTATAACTTTAGCTAGCTAACGTTAGCATTGCTAGCTATATTTGACAAACTTTGCCATCTCTCTAAAGTACATTTGACCATATCATAATGATGGCAAAGTTGTTTCCAATTAATGGTTTGCATACTTTAGCAATGTCATCGTATTTCCAGGCCACTATAGCTAACTAGTGTAATTAGCCCCACTTGACTTTCAGGCACCACTATGGCTGAGGCTAAATATAAATGCTGAAGCTAGCTAAATACATTGCATGGGCCGAAATTGACTTATGAAGATAGAATTTGTCAACATAATTACACCACAGACTGCATAGCGAATTCATGTGGCGCTTAGCAAGGTAGGCTAGCTAGCTCGGCTAGCTTTCTACAATGTGTCAAAACGTGTCAAAAATCTATAACCTAATGCTCATCGTGTAAAAATATATAGCCTAACGCTTTGCTGGAACATAGTACGATTAACGTTAGATGACCAGCTCGATATCTACACTTGAGTATACCAAACATTAGGAACACCTTCCTAATATTGAGTTGCACTCCCCCCCAATGCTTCCCACAGTTGTGTCAAGTTGGCTGTCCTTTTGGGTGGTGGACCATTCTTGATACACACAGGAAATTGTTGAGCGTGAAAAACCTAGCAGCGTTGCAGTTCTTGACACAAACTGGTGCGCCTGGCACCTACTACCATACCCCGTTCAAAGGCACTTAAATATTTTCTTGTACATTTACCCTCTGATTGGTACACATACACAATCCATGTCTCAATTGTCTCAAGGTTTAAACATCCTTCTTTAACCTGTCTCCTCCCCTTCATCTACACTGATTGAAGTGGATTTAAAAAGTGACATCAATAAGGGATCATAGCTTTCACCTGGATTCACCTGGTCAGTCTATGTCATGGAAAGAGCAGGTGTTCTTAATGTTTTGTATACTCAGTGTATAAGGTATGATTTTATAACAGCGAGGAATAGCTAGTAAATGTTGCTAAGCTAACATTAGTTTTGAGGTTTGTCTTACCAGGTTTGAGTGCACTGTTACGGTCCATCAGTTCCCGACCGAAGTTCCACTCCATCCGATCACCCTGGTCTTTCCACAACCTTCATCCAACTCCCTTCTGGATGACCAAACTTATTTTTTTAGCAGATAATTGCTGTCTGGGGCGGCAGGTAGCCTAGCGGTTAAAAGTGTTGGGCCAGTAACCGAAAGGTTGCTGGTTCGAATCCCAGATCCAACTAGGTGGAAAATCTGTCGACGTGCCCTTGAGCAAGGCGATTAACCCTAATTGCTTTGCTAAATGACTCAAATGTAAATGTCTGTCTGCTGTTGACAGCATAGTCCTTGGTTCAGCTTGTTGGCCATGACTGTCTTGGTCTGGGGTCCTGGGAGAAGCAAGTGGCCACGCCTCTAACGTGAGAGCACGCAGGCCACGTTTTCCTGGCAAATCATACTGTAATTCCAGCAGCTGCCAGAAAGGCAACACTGGGGTCTAAAGATATCATGTAATCTTGAAAGCATTTTATTCTCTAATCCTTGCCACTTTATTATGGCCATTTAGAGCTATTTGAATGAACAGTACTTAAATATTGTACCTTTAAAGGGAATGTCTTGGGTACAAATACATGCCCATGCAGGCAAAGGAATGTTCACACACACTCACACACTCCTTTGCGTAGTAACCCTGTGCACTTCCAACCCAATAAACAGATGTTTCCCATGATTCTAACCATAGCTTGGACCCAGAGGGGTTGTGATAACTTTATGCCTTTTCATAACTTCATAACTGATTTAGCTAACCCTTAATCATCAGAGGAAACTGTTTCTGGGCCAGTTGTTAAAGGGATACTTCAGGATTTTGGCAATGAAGATGAACTCATGGATACAATTTTTACAATATGTCTCTGCATCCAGTATGAAGGAAGTTAGTTAGTTTCGCGAGCCAATGCTAACTAGCGTTAAGGCAATGACTGGAAGTCTAAGGTAACCTCCATTGATTTACAGTCATTGTGGTATAAATTATACCATTGACTTCCAGTCATTGCGCTAACGCTAGTTAGCAGTTGCGCTAACGCTAGTTAGTAACTTCAAACTGCAAACAGAGACATTAAAATTGTATCCACGAGTTCATCTGTCTTTGGCTCTTCATTGCCAAAATCCTGAAGGATCCCTTTAAGGGCGGCATACTGTTTGTACAGCTTCATTGACATCTCACCACACAATCAATACGCCACAAATTAAAACTATGATTGGCAAACATTCTTAGTCCATTTTCTCAAAATAACAAAACGACAACGGTGACCCCACGACCACCAATCAACTGCTCTGATCAATTTAACTCCAGCTCATCTAAATTGGATTTGCCTGTTTTAACTGTGAAGTCCATAGACAGAGGGCCAGGGGATATCCATTTCAACCTAATCCCCTACCTTTCATTGTCTCCCCACAGTACTTTGTCCTGCTGCTGTGTATCTTCCTGCTGGAGATCCTCGCCGGTGTCCTGGCCTACATCTATTACCAGCAGGTAATGAATGACTTGATTCACCACCTGATTCCACCGCCAGTAACATTATCTATACCCAGAGCCTGCCCAGAGACAGAAGAGTGTATGTTTGTAAAAACTGAAACCACAACAAGGGAAGGTTCACGGATAATGCACCAGTCTCTCTCTTTCTCAATCTGTTGCTTTTCTCTCTCTCTTGTTGTAGCATTTCTGTATTGTGATGATATCACTAAGATGTGATTCCCACTACTATCCTTGTCACTAGTATATACCCCTGCTGTGTAGATGTTAGACCTGCAGGAATGTTATCCTACCAGCTTGGTGTGTGTCATTTGAACTCTCTCTGTGTAATTGTCTGCTTATGTTCCTTTGACCTTTCACCCTGTTTTCATCTCACTGCTGCAGTGTTTCCCACGCTGTGAACAGGTCAAATAAAAACCTATTATATTTCTCTCTCTTCCTCCCCCCTCTCCCTCTCTCGTTCATTTATTCCCTTTATCTCTCCTTTACGTTCTGACTTGGCTCTACGTTCTGTGGTTGCCATAGAAACTGTGGACCAGCTAGATGTAGGCCTATGCTCTTACCCGAGTTTTGCACTACTGTTATAAATGAATGAAAATGTACATCCTCTTACCTTTATGTATATCATTTCCCCGCTTCAAAATATTATTGGGTCAAGAGGAGTTCCTTCTGTAATTACAGTTTTAGCTATTCTAGACCTTTGATACAGTGGATCGTTCTATTCTATGAAATCGACAATGAGATGCATTACATTCCTTCAAGTATTATTTTACTGATAGAAGATTCACAGTCTTCATTGGTGAGCTTATGTCTGCTTCTCCCACTACCTTATTCTCAATTTACATGCTTCCACTTAGTCCTATTAAGAAAGAAAATATCGCTTTTGTTCCTGCTTAGTGCTAACATACCTGATTTAAGTAATCAACGAGGTGTGTTAGAGTTAGGTTAGAACAAAAGCCTGCACTCAAATATCATAGTTTCCCCTTCCTTGGTACTGTATATGCTTCTGTTTCTAACGTCTGGTGGGTAGCTGTGATGTAGTCTGACCAAGGTCATGTTTACCGTTCTCTCATATCCCCTGTGTCCTGTCTTCCTCTGCAGCTCAATGAGGAGCTGAAACAGAACCTGCGGGAGACAATGGTGCAGAAGTACAGGCAGTCAGAGCAGGAGCATATCACCAAAGCAGTGGACAAGCTGCAGCAGGAGGTAAGAGAAGGCACCATAAGCAGACTTGAGGAGTTTGGTTAGAGGTTTTTGTAAATATTAATTTGGGAATTTGTTGATTTTCTCCAATGTGCATTAATAATCAGCTTGTTTATGTTTACGTTCATTGTGTCTACTGTTATTTACACTGTCACAGGTATGTGTTTTCATTATGCTTGGTTACAGTATGTTATAGCCCTTCATGTAACTCGTCATTATGAAACTTGTGATTTGAAAGATAGCCCATTGTTTTGTATAAAGATTTTGTTCATGAACTGAATATCATTCAGCTCGTCATCTGAAACAACTGCAAGACAATTGGAAAAACATCCACCACCCTGTCTGGGAAATGCCCTCTCCTCCTCTCCCTCTCCCGCCAGTTTAAGTGCTGTGGCAGCAACAGCTCGTCGGACTGGGGCGAGAGCGTGTGGATCCACACCAGTGAGGCAGATGGCAGGCTGGTGCCGGACAGCTGCTGTAAGACCCAGACGCTGGGCTGCGGCCGTAGGGACCACCCATCAAACATCTACAAGGTGGAGGTGAGTGTCAGATACAGAGAGCAGCCGGTGTTGTTGCGTGTTAGTGTGCTTGCAATTCCTAGTGCAAATAATGCTTGAGTTCAGGTTTGTGTATCAAGATCATAGCTGCGGGATGTAGTTTGGGGGTTGGGAATGTATTGAGTAAGCATTCTAAATGTAACGAGTACTTTTGGGTGTCAGGGAAAATGTATGGAGTAAAAATTACATTGTTTTCTTTAGGAATGTAGTGGAGTAAAAGTAAAATTTTTCAAAATATAAATAGTAAAGTAAAGTACAGATACCCACAAAAAATAGTACACCACTGTAATCTGATAATACTTGTGGAATATAAAAATACTTGCCTGATATATGTTTTCCAGTTTCTTTAAATACTTTGCAAATGCAACTTATTTCTATTTGTAAACTGAAATGGTCTATTCATTCCTTTTACATTTTAGTAGATGCTCTCATCCAGAGCAATTTACAGTAGTGAGTGCATACATTTTCATACTTTTTCGTACTGGCCCCCGTGGGAATCGAACCCACAATCCTAGGGTTTCAAGCACCATGCTCTACCAACTGAGCCATATCACATCACATCATCACAAACCACTTGATGTCTCAATGTACTCAATTATTGTGCATTGTTTTTCTTCATGGTGATGGAAGGTCTACAGGTACCAAACCTAGATGACCAGATGACTGCTCAAAAACATAAAGGGAACACTTAAACAACACAATGTAACTCCAAGTCAATCACACTTCTGTGAAATCAAACTGTCCACTTAGGAAGCAACACTGATTGACAATAAATTTCACATGCTGTTGTGCAAATGGAATAGACAACAGGTGGAAATGATAGGCAATTAGCAAGACACCCCCAATAAAGAAGTGGTTCTGCAGGTGGTGACCACAGACCACTTCTCAGTTCCTATGCTTCCTGGCTGATATTTTGGTCTCTTTTGAATGCTGGCGGTGCTTTCACTCTAGTGGTAGCATGAGACGGAGTCTACAACCCACACAAGTGGCTCAGATAGTGCAGCTCATCCAGGATGGCACATCAATGCGAGCTGTGGCAAGAAGGTTTGCTGTGTCTGTCAACGTAGTGTCCAGAGCATGGAGGCGCTACCAGGAGACAGGCCAGTACATCAGGAGACGTGGAGGAGGCCATAGGAGGGCAACAACCCAGCAGCAGGACCGCTACCTCCGCCTTTGTGCAAGGAGGAGCAGGAGGAGCACTGCCAGAGCCCTGCAAAATGACCTCCAGCAGGCCACAAATGTGCATGTCTGCTCAAACGGTCAGAAACAGACTCCATGAGGGTGGTATGAGGGCCCGACGTCCACAGGTGGGGGTTGTGCTTACAGCCCAACACCGTGCAGGACGTTTGGCATTTGCCAGAGAACACCAAGATTGGCAAATTCGCCACTGGCGCCCTGTGCTCTTCACAGATGAAAGCAGGTTCACACTGAGCACGTGACAGAGTCTGGAGACGCCGTGGAGAACGTTCTTCTGCCTGCAACATCCTCCAGCATGACCGGTTTGGCGGTGGATCAGTCATGGTGTGGGGTGGCATTTCTTTGGGGGGCCGCACAGCCCTCCATGTGCTCGCCAGAGGTAGCCTGACTGCCATTAGGTACCGAGATGAGATCCTCAGACCCCTTGTGAGACCATATGCTGGTGCGGTTGGCCCTGGGTTCCTCCTAATGCAAGACAATGCTAGACCTCATGTGGCTGGAGTGTGTCAGCAGTTCCTGCAAGGCATTGATGCTATGGACCACCAGTTCCCCAGACCTGAATCCAATTGAGCACATCTGGGACATCATGTCTCGCTCCATCCACCAACAGACTGTCCAGGAGTTGGCGAATGCTTTAGTCCAGGTCTGGGAGGAGATCCCTCAGGAGACCATCCGCCACCTCATCAGGAGCATGCCCAGGCGTTGTAGGGAGGTCATACAGGCACGTGGAGGCCACACACACTACTGAGCCTCATTTTGACTTGTTTTAAGGACATTACATCAAAGTTGGATCAGCCTGTAGTGTGGTTTTCCACTTTAATTTTGAGGGTGACTCCAAATCCAGACCTCAATGGGTTGATACATTTGATTTCCATTGATAATTGTTGTGTTATTTTGTTGTCAGCACATTCAACTATGTAATGAAAAAAGTATTTAATAGGATTATTTCATTCATTCAGATCTAGGATGTGTTATTTTAGTGTTCCCTTTATTTTTTTGAGCAGTGTACAATACAGTAATGTACATTTACATTAAGTGGTTTGTAAGGATGGTAAATTAATACTGCACAAAACGTGGTTGTTTTCCATGTTATTTGATGAAGAAAAATATTGTTTTGATGTGGATGTTTTGTGTCTTTGGCCATAACTTTGCACCTTTTGATGTAAACGTTTGAGGACAGGGCTTTGTTCTTTCTGGATTCCATTAGAATGACAATTGCAGAGAAAGAGACAGGGCAACAACTATTACAATTCCAACTATTGAATCCTGCAAGATACTGTTCTTAATTATACCTACCTTTTTTGACAAAGCGGAGATGCTGAAAATAACATTTTGCCTGCGCTACAGACGTCTGTATCGGTCCGCTAATACTAGTAAAGGCCCAGTGCAGTACTTGAGTAAAACAAATATATATATTCTATTTTATTTTTTTCGGGGGGTTTTTCATTCCGATTTTTCAGCACCCTTAGCTCCACTACTTCCCGCAGCTATGATCAATTTTGAAAGTCACCTTGAACGTCACACACACACACAATGTGGTCCTACCTTTCCTCTCAAGGGGGGTTGTATCACTAAACTGGAGAACTTCATTTTGGACCACCTGAAGATCATTGGAGCAGTGGGCGTGGGCATCGCCTGTGTACAGGTGAGCAAAAAGAAGCCATTTCACTGTTTACAGCACAGAGATAACCCAAGATGGCCACCATCAACATAAGAATCCTTGCCCTGGTCTCTGGAAATTCAGGGGTAATGGTAGAAGTGTAAAGCAACCAAAAGTAATTTTTGAGTTTCATTCTCTCAAACTTCTGCTACTTTTGAATTATGTGGACACTGAAACACTTAAACCATTTAAGCATGTATTCTTATGTGGCCTCAGGCATATACACTACCGGTCAAAAGTTTTAGAACACCTACTCATTCAAGGGTTTTTCTTTATTTTTTACTATTTTCTACATTGTACAATAATAGTGAAGACATCAAAACTATGAAATAACACATTGCTTATTTGAGCTGTTCTTGACTATAATATGGACTTGGTGTTTTACCAAATAGGGCTATCTTCTGTATACCCCCCCCCCCCCCCCTACCTTGTCACAACACAACTGATTGGCTCAAGCGCATTAAGAAGGATAAAAAATCCACAAATTACCTTTTAACAAGGCACACCTGTTAATTTAAATGCATTCCAGGTGACTACCTCATGGAGCTGGTTGAGAGAATGCCAAGAGTGTGCAAAGCTGTCATAAAGGCAAAGGGTGGCTTTGTAAAATAAAAATAAATAAAAACCCTTGCAAGAGTAGGTGTTCTAAACCTTTTGACTGGTAGTGTATGTTGAAATATGCTGGCACCAACTGAAACATATACTTATGTGCCGTCAGGCTTGTACTGTAGTTACAGTACCTGAATACACTTGCAAGGTATATATCTCTATCTCTCTCTCTCTCTCTCTCTCTCTCTCAGATTGTGGGATGTTGTTTACTGCGTCTCTATATCGAGTTTTGCGCTCGCCTCTCCTCCCGATATGTGGGATGGTGTTGTAACTTGCTGTCTATATCGGAGTTTGAAGGCAGAGCCGTACTGAGAGTAGAACACGAAGAGAAGGAAAAGGGAGGGGTCTAGTCTCTGCCACCCAGTGTCATCATATCCCAGCGACCCGTTTAGTCATGGGGTCTAACACTGTGCCATGCAAACAGAAGAGGACGATATGTGTAAGGGTCTAGGATGCACTTATGATAGTGTCTCTCAATCCATTCCCTGGGGGGACCATTTTGGTTCTAGCCTAGCACTAACTCCCCCGATTCAACAAATCAAGGGCTTGATTTGTTGAATCATTTGTATTGGGCTAGAATTCCTACGGGGTCCCCCCTTGGAATGGGGAATCAGATTTATGCAAGCTATCTGATCTACAATGCTCTATATTTTGGTAGTCTGCAACAACAGAGCACTCTGTGTAACCTAGTGTGATGTAAAGATCAGTGGACCAAAATGGCCCGTGCATGAGAACAGCTTGTCTTAACATTGCAATAATCATGACTGTGGCTTAATGAGCGAGACCTGACCTCTGGGGCCGATTACCATGGCAACACATTTTCTTTTTACATCAAGTAGCTGATTATACATTTACACATCTTTTACACTGTTTTTCTCTCAACTTTTTAATTGTTAGTTTATTTGATTTTTTGTATTTATCTTTTAATACAAGGGATTTCTCCACTTGTCGTCAACACTGACTTTGTGTAAAATCATATCAAACTTACTACTCCTGCAAGCCTTTTTCATGTATACTGAACAAAATTATAAATGCAACAATTTCAAAGATTTTACTGATTACAGTTCATATAAAGAAATCAGTCAATTGAAATAAATTAATCAGGCCCTAATCTATGGATTTCACATGACTGGGCAGGGGTGCAGCCATGGGTGGGCCAGGGAAGGCATAGGCCCACCCACTTGGGAGCCAGGCCCACCCACTGGGGAGCCAGGCCCAGCCAATCCGAATGAGTTTTTCCGCACAAAAGGGCTTTATTACAGACAGAAATACTCCTCAGCACCCCCCCTCCCCCTCAGATGATCCCGCAGGTGAAGAAGCCAGATGTGGAGAAATGAACATTCAATTCTCTGGCAACAGCTCTGGTGGACATTCCTGCAGTCAGCATGCCAATTGTACGCTCCCTCAAAACTTGAGACAACTGTGGCATTGTGTTGTGTGACAAAACTGCACACTTTAGAGCAGCCTTTTATTGTCCCCAGCACAATGATCATAATGTTCATCCTGTTTAATCAGCTTCTTGATATGCCACACCTGTCAGGTGGATGGATTATCTTGGCAAAGGAGAAATGCTCACTAACAGGGATTTAAACAAATTTGTGCACAAAATTTGAGAGAAATAAGCTTTTTGTGCGTATGGAAAGATTCTGGCCTCTTTTATTTCAGCTCATGAAACATGGGACCAACACTTTACATGTTGCGTTTATATTTTTGTTCAGTATATATTCTGATTGTCTTTGTGTGCCTTTGTAGATTTTAAAAGATTTATTAAGTTTTGCTTTTATTCAAACCATAAATGTTATTTTATTTTGTATTTAACACACGAGTAGGAGGACTTGATTATATGTAAAGTGTGCCTCAAAGACACCACAAACTAATCAAACTGCTGTATTTCTGTTGGTTTTCCTCTATACATGGAGGTATTTAGCTGAAATAAACACAATTAAACCTGTTTTGGGGTAAATTTACAAGGTGTAGGTAGCTATGGTATGTCAAATGAACTGTCAAAGGGAGTCATAACGTTATACATATATAGGTAAGAGCTACCGAATGTCATTTTTGGTGAGTTTGGACATTTACAAGTGAATGTGAACGAGAGACATTGTGCAAATGAACAGTACTGGCTCTGGAGCAGCATGTGTACATGCTGTGTCTGTGTGGAGTCTGGAGTCGCTAGGGTCACGGGCCTGCCTGCTCAGCTTGGAGAAGATGGGGGAAGAGCAGACAGGCCGAGAAAGGAGAAAAAACACAAGGAAATCAAAAGATAGCAGTGGCAGCTTTACAGATAACTCATCCAAAGGGCTTTGACTTCTCAAACACGGCAGAAAGCCAACACAATATGATGCCCCGTCACCTTGTTAATTCAGCCACTTAGATAACACGACCCCTAAGTTTAACTTGCTAGTTAACGCACAATTCTTAATTTTTCACGCAGGAAAAAAGATACAACTCATAAGAAATATCTTGCTTCGTTTTGTAAACGCAGATCTAAAATGCTTATTATAATTTCTGCTCGGCATCAGACTAATTTTGTGCTTCAGTTGCACTTCTCCAGTCAGATGAGAATTCACTAATGGGCATTCTATCAGCAGACAGACTCTGACTGATGTGGAGCTACTTTTCTCTGTACTTCTCGGTGTAGCCAGCCTACTTTTCTCTGTACTTTCTGTGTAGCCAGCCTCCATGCCTACTTTTCCCATGAACTCTTTCTCTGGTACTTTCCATGTAGCCAGCTACTTTTCCTGGTACTTCTGTAGCAGTACTTCTCTGGTATTTTCTCATGAGCCAGCCTACTATCCTGGTACTTTTCTCCATGTACCAGCACTTTTCTCTGTACTTTCTCCATACAGCTACTCTTGGTCTTTTCTCCTGTAGCCAGCCTTTCCTGGTACTTTCTCATGTGCACCTACTTTTCTGGTATTTCTCATGTAGCCAGCTACTTTTCTCTGGTACTTTTCTCCATGTACCAGCCTCTTTTTCTCGGTACTTTCTCCATGTAGCCAGCCTACTTCTCTGGTACTTTCTCCTGTAGGTCGGTACTTTTCTCCTGTAGCCAGCCTACTTTTCTCTGGTACTTTTCTCCATGTAGCCAGCCTACTTTTCTCTGGTACTTTTCTCCATGTAGCCAGCCTACTTTTCTCTGGTACTTTTCTCCATGTAGCCAGCTACTTTCTCTGTATTTCTCCATGTAGCCAGCCTATTTCTCTGGTACTTTTCTCCATGTAGCCAGCCTACTTTTCTCTGTACTTTTCTCCATGTAGCCAGCCTACTTTTCTCTGGTACTTTTCTCCATGTAGCCAGCCTACTTTTCTCTGGTACTTTTCTCCATGTAGCCAGCCTACTTTTCTCTGGTACTTTTCTCCATGTAGCCAGCCTACTTTTCTCTGGTACTTTTCTCCATGTAGCCAGCCTACTTTTCTCTGGTACTTTTCTCCATGTAGCCAGCCTACTTTTCTCTGGTACTTTTTGTACAGCTACTTTCTTGGTACTTTTTCCATGTAGCCAGCCTACTTTTCTCTGGTACTTTTCTCCATGTAGCCAGCTACTTTTCTCTGGTACTTTTCTCACATGTAGCCAGCCTACTTTTCTCTGGTACCTTTTCTCCATGTAGCCAGCCTACTGATCTCTGGTCTTTCTCCATGTAGCAGCCTCTTATCTCTGTACTTTTCTCCATGTAGCCAGCCTACTTTTCTTGGTACTTATCAGTAGCCAGCCTACTTTTCTGGTACTTTTCTTCATTTAGCCAGGCCTACTTATCTCTGGTACTTTCTCCATGTAGCCAGCCTACTTTTCTCATGGTACTTTTCTCCATGTAGCCAGCCTACTTTTATCTGGTACGTTTCTCCATGTAGCCAGCCTATTATCTCTGCTGTACTTTTCTCCATGTAGCCAGCCTACTTTCTCTGGTACTTTTCTCCATGTAGCCCAGTCTACTTTTCTCTGGTACTTTTCTCCATGTAGCCAGCCTACTTTTCTCTGGTAACAATGCTAGATTAACTTTAAGAAAAACATTAGAAAAATTAGCTGGCTACATTCTTTCTATGATAAACAGAAATATGCAAAAAATACCTTGCTTTTACATTGTAAGCTCATTTAGCCTACTTGTGTGGCTTCCAGCCAAATAGCGTTGCACTTCTGTTGTAATCTGATGAAAATGAAGCTATTTTCTGCCGAATGTGTTGCACTAATGTATTTTCTGTGAAGGAAAACTATAGTTGCACACCCCTGATCACTCTATTGAAGCATAAAAACACTACACTGTCAATATACAACGGGACCCGTCAATACACAGCTGGACTCACCTGCTCCCGCTTTCACCAGTTGTGATACTTACAAACAGACGAGACTGACTCAACTGTTCTGGGGAACTATGGTAAACTTCATAATGTAAAATAATGTGACCAGTGAATTGAAGAACGCAATCTGCTTTATCTTCTAACATATTG